GTATTACGACACGGAGATTTACGATCGTAATACGGAGCCATGTAATACGGCCAAATACGGCGATTTACCGTCGTATATGGCAGAAAACGGCCGTATACGGCCCGTATTTCACCGTAGACGGACGTCGTAAAGCTCGTCCTGGGTATTGTAATCCGAATGAATCAAGTGTCCAACAATCAGTTCTAGTTATACAAATCTTATCGAAAGATTCAACAGTGAGCTGTTTTTTGACTACGTGTTCAGAACAACAACGCGATCCTGAAGAAACAAAAACACCACGTTTCAAAAAGATCATTGTCGGTTGGACAGATGATAGCACTTTAGCCGATATTATCTCAATATCACATATAACACAAAACCTAAACAAATAAAACAATCGATCAAACATGAAGGTAAAAAATAGCTCACTGGTGACTTTTTGAGCATCTAAAAACAGGAATACTAATTCTTGGTGTCTGCGGATCGGTTTGAACGCTTGATTCCACAATTCGTTCCTCATAGTTATCAACAACCATGGCCTAAATATTATTGCTATAGAATAAAAAAGAAAAATAGCGATAAATTACAATTTTATCGTCATCATTGGTGAAGAATTCATTATCACTTATGTCACGTGAACAAAATCGATCAAAGTCACATTCCATCACACGCAGCCAATGAAAAAATTGTAATCTGCACCGTTGACAAATATAATCTTCTGAAAAAATACGCTTCGACAAACGCACAGCAACATAAACACGTAAAAGCCCGTCTCCGATCGTACGCATTTAGACTTGATCAAAACTTTTTTCACACATCACACATTTTTCACGAGGCTTATTAGGCATTTCTTATCAGAAGGTACGAACCAAAAGAATAACGAACAAAAAAATCATACATTTTTAACTCGATGTAACATAGTAGCCACGGTGGATAAAAGAAAACACGCACATGGAACAAAAGGAGGAAACTCTCGTATCCAAATCTTTCCTCACATGTAAATTTGTTCACTATAAATAGAACAGCAATGAGAGCAAAAGAACAAGATGTGAAAATATCAGTTTTCTAACTTTTTCTAGTAGAACTTAGCAACTGAACTGTTAACATCTACATACAGATAACAGATGACGTGACAACATCCAATATACATAATCGAAATTCATAAAATTCATTTTTCCGATGTTATAAAACACTTATTCATTCATGACATATACATTTTGATGCAAACAAAATAGACAAAAGTAACCGACTATAAAATCTATTTAGAAATTTTCGATCTTTTCCCCCCAATGATAACATATTTTCAGAGTCAAATATATTCTATTTTGTAGCGCTTAAAAATGTCTATCGAATGGTAGATAAGAGAACAGTTCTATTGTGATATATTTGTGTCGAAGATGGAAGAATGTTCCAAGAGAAATAGTCAAATAGTGAATTTTTGTTAGTGCGCATAACTTTTTTGAAATTCATTTTGTCTTGACGGATTTAGTATCAAAATGCTTGTCTTAATGGCATCTTTCATTTCATATGTAATTTGACTAGGTTGAGTTGGAAAAAGCGCAATGGGCCGATAGGGTATCTTATACGCCCCTGTCCTTTATCTCATATTTCATGGTGAGAAGCTAGCTTATGATAGCAAATTAACTTCACCTGAGCGTCACCAAATTTCATAAAGTTCCACCCCTCCGACTCCTGAAATATCATATGGCAGCGATTTCCTATCATTCTCGTCTTTATTGTAGAGAACTCCTAAAATATTTTGAAAAGTTCTCATGTGCATGGATAGTCTCAAAACAACATAAATAAGGGAATATCTTAACGGTTCTTCTCCTACTTGCTGAAAGGTGGTAATATCTTTTCTTAATAACCTAATATTACAAAATATCAAATGCATAAGTTCGAGTTATGATCATATTGCGTAGGCCAGTCTACGTCTTCTGTCCCGTGTTTTGATTTGTAAACTTTTATAATATGAATCTTATTGATGTCTTTTGTTCTTATAATTCCTTAAAAGTATAATTTATACCGATGAATATCACTGGATCTCGTGAGATCCCAATAGATTCCAAGATCGCGATGGATCCCGCCAGATCTCAATGGATCCTATTGGATCCTGGGATCCGCTTTTTCCCCCTTAGTAAAGCCGAACAATTTGGTGGAAATATCGATTTTGTCATAATTCAAATAATTAATACTGTGAACATTCGTAATGAAATCGTTGTCGAAGCAAAATGTGATGCACTTGGCAAAGGATTCCTTCAGTTGTTACTGACATTAAAATCCATTTGGGATTTAAATAATGATACAAAATTCGTGTATGAGTTCGTAACAACAGTAATCAATTGGCTATTAGTAACATATGATGGTCAAGTGTGGAAATTATCGAAACCATCAATTGTTTTACTTCCAAATATGGAAAAACAAGAAGATCAATGAACAATACAAAAATACTCGATGTTGTTGACAGTATTTTGTCAGCAATATAATTTGTTTTTGTTGTTACTATTGTTTGATTGAAGAATAATAAAGGAGTTCTACGTAAAGATCTTTTTCCTGGAAGAATTTTTCCAAGTCGAAAACTACGGATCAAAACTGAGATCGTATTCGTTCTCTATACATGAAAGCCGTAAATGACTGTTTTTTTCTTCTTATACAATCGTTTACGACCGTGCTTGTCCGACCTCGGTCGTATAAACACTCAGTAAAATTTTATCTGAAAATTCGGCGTACCAAAGTGAATTTGAAGCACTTAAACATATGAATACTCGAATATATTTTGAAGTTGGATCGATTCATAGATTGCTAGCATTATACGATCGTATTTATCCGTAATGCATGGTTCAGGATTGCGATCGTACATCGCCGATGTAAGGGAAGTTAGCGACAGATTCGAGCTTTTCCTGAAACGATTCGTCCCATCAATCGTGCCACTTCTTGAACGTAGCGTGCCAGATATAACCCGATGAGCTCTATCTA